GGGGGGGGCAGTCAGAAGTTACTAAGTCACTAGAAAACGTGTTCAAGTCACAGACTTCCTCCTTGTGCACTTCTAATGTTTGTCAGCTATCATGTAGTTCCTATGATGTGAGCTGATGAATCTCCTCTTGTACTGATTATGTTATAACAGCATAACTCCAGGAGGAGATTGAGAAGTGAAAGCTCCTATGATATAGACAACATTGTTATTCCAATGTCGCTGGTGGCACCATCAAAGTTGGAGAAACTACAGTACAAAGAAATCCTTACCCCAAGGTTTGTTCATGACCTCCTTAGTTGCAAAGAAGATACCAAAATGAACATGAGAACATTAAGAATATCATTAACATGTAGTTATATAATTTTATAATATTAATATGATCTTTTCATGCACTGGGTTTTTTTTTTCTGTACATTTCATTTTGTGTGACTGGAGTGGTGGGACTGTTGACAGCACGAGGGAAATAGTCTGATACACACAGAGAGGTGGCAGATGCACAGACTGGCTAGAAAAAGAAGTGTGTTTATATCATCGTAATTGTAGTCATGTTTGTGGCCTCAAATCTTCCATAAGGCTGACATGCTCTGAATTTAGAGGTTGCTGTCTTTTATGTGTTACGGTTCATAAGAAAATACTTAACTATTTTCACTGAAGTAAACAGAAATGGTTTTAGCATATATTTTTAAAATTTATCCATTCTGATACAGTAGAATAAGCTTAATTTTTTCCATACAGTGTAATCCTATAATTCACTATTCTAGATTCTTCCCCCCCCCCAAAAAAAAGAAAAATCTTTAGATTGTCAGGGTAGTTGATCTCCTGTGCTGTAATTCAGTGGCTTACTAGCAAATTGCATGAAATGGCTAAATGCAGTGGTTCCATATTTTAAATCTCTAATTTGTATTTGCTTTTATATTGTCTTTCAGTCTAATAATGTTATTAAGACTCTACTGGATAACTTAAAGACTGACTTGGGAAAAGAAAGGTTAGATACTGGGTTGGGAAAGGAAAATCTAAATTTCAGGCATCTGGTATCAGCACCTTAAATCTGAAATTATTTTATTTGAAATAAATTTTGAAGCACAAGCAGTGTTGAAGAAGGAGTAACTAACAATATAGTGTAGAAAGAAGAGTTGTCTCTACTGCCGAAATAATGAAACAGCACATAGGTAAATTAATTTGACTTTTCTTGTTTCGTTTCTAGCTGGAGAGTTGTTGAATTTCAACCTTTAGAAAGATCTCATACTGATGAAGAAGAGGTAGGCTGTATTTTAATTAAACCATCAGTTTTTAATTACATTAGGTATAATATATAATTGGGATAATTAGTATATATTTTCCAAAGTCACTGACTTCATGCAAATCCTGGTAAGTTTCACATTTCAAAAATAGAGTATTATCTGTCAGATTGTGTCTTATCCCAACCTACTTGACCCTGTGGTGGATGACAGAAATGTGACTATCTCCATTAATAATCATTGTTCACTTCTTCATTTGGCTCTTCTGTGCCTTGATGCTGGCGCAGTCAGTGCCCCCAGAGGGTCTCTTTGGTCAGGCCTCTGCCTCCCCTGCTCCTGGGCATCGTGATGCTGGGTCTCCCAGTGCAACTGTCTCATCGGGGCCACCTGTGCTATAACCGCTGTCTTTCTCTCTCATCCTCTTCTTTGATGGCCAGTTCACATGGCCTGTGTCTCTTCAGGAGGTAACTGGCTATTTTGCCTGTGGGCCCAGCAGGTTTTTCCTCAGTTTTCTTCTCAGTGTTCTTTTTCCTGCAACCCTCTTGCTGGGAGCAAACTTTTTTCCTTTCTGCTTTGTCAGGAACAATGTAACCTTCAGCATTTCCTGCTTGCCTCTTGAACTAGGTTTGCACATCGTGTGCTACTGTTGCTTCCTCCAGACATGGGAGTCTACGTTTTTCTTCCAGGGAATGTCCGTGGGCTTTGCAGCTGGGGACTCCTTTCTCCCCTAATCAGGGCTTCAAGGCGTTTCCTGTGTACTAGCAGGTCTCTAGGCTGGTTTTCTGTCCTTCCAATCTTGTTGTGTCTCCTTTTCCAGAAACCTGCCAGTTTTACTGTCCGTTGGACCTCTCTAGTCTCCCTCCAGCCTCTGCTACGGGGCACTATCAACTGTTGTAATGTAGGACTTGTATTCATACCTTCATCCACAATATCTGTTCTTGAGCTCTTTTTTCAGAGAATCTCTACAACAAGGGTTTAAATGCCTTAGTAGAAGAAAAAGATTGCGTTTGGATAGCAGTATAGAAGGTTATGCTAAACACAGTAAACAATCATTACGCCATTCCTTTGGGGTAGAAAATACACTCTCCACAAAGGTGCTAGCTTCCTCAGAGTTTTACTAGATCTGTAGTTGCCTGATCCATGGAAATGAACCTTGCCTTTGAGAGAACATCATGGTCTCAGGTCCCTACCTGGTTATAGTTGCGCTTACTTGGAACTGTATTCTTGGAATGGAAGGAAGAGCAAACCTTACTCTTGAAAAGTGCCTTTTCTCATGCACTTGGGAAATTCTTGTGAAATCTGGTGGCCAGAGATATGTCACCTCCACCACCACCTTTTGGTTTGGTACTGTCTCTGCTAGCAGGAAACATGCCTGATCTTTTGTAGTGAGAAGGTCGAATTACATACACTGTCCTGCAAGGACATTTAATTAAACCATTTGGAGAATAACTAATAAGCCAGCAAGGGCTCACTGTCCCTTGAGAATGTACTGTTCATTGCTCTCTCTTTGTCCTGGTATCTGTTGAGAAAAAAAGAGAATTTCAACAGTGGTTTGCCTTCAGGGCTTCAAGGGACTTGCTTGGATGGCTTTGTGGATTTCTTGTTTAGATTTCAGATCCCGTACAGATGACTTGCCTTACATACTTCTAGCTTATTTTGCTGACGGGACTTCAACGTATCTCTCTGCGAAGCTCATGGGCTAATCACTTGTTTAGTAGTCCTCCCAATACATTTGTATTTGGCGTGACTAGTTGATCCTGTATTATTCATCCTTTGGCCAGGAAATAACTTGAGTTAATAGTAAAGCAGCTTTGCCTCCTGCTGTGGTCCACTGCTTCTATATTGTCTGTCAGCTGCTGGGTAGAATGAGAGGGAAGAGATGTCAGACAGAAAAATTCTAAAGATCTTGTTTGTCTAAATCATCGTTTGCCAATTTTCCCCCTTTCTTTTGGCATCATGTTAATTGCTTTGGATGTTTTTCAGAGTACTGAGAAAACGTGGTTGTCTGATCATAATTCTTCCACTTCCTTGCTTTAGGTTTTAGGGTGAGTTAGATTTGTTACTGAGCAAGCTTGAAAAAATACAGGAGAAAACAGCAGCATTACCTTTCTCCAATGATACTCTGACATTCTTGAAATCGTTCCTTGTACTGAAATCAAGGCAAGCTTCAGTAGATAATTCGTGAAGGACAAGAGAGGGCAAAATGTACTTTCTGCTTTTATATAAAGTAAGCTTTTCCTGTGCTTTCTGCTGCGTAGCAGCCTGTGGTGGTACTGTGTAATAGTTTCTTTTCTGCGTATTTTCTGCATGGCTAAATGTAAAACTTCTGGAGTTGTCCTTGTGTCAACCAGCAGTTAGGGCTTTCTTCCACTTGACATCTTTCCCTCTCCCTCCCCACCCTTTTTTTTTTTTCTTCTCTCTTTTCTTCATTTAAAGGCTTTCAGTCTAACAACTTGTACCCATGCAATAGACTTGCATCCAAAGTTTCAACAAGTTACAAAAAAATGTGGGGTCCCAGATTTGTCATTTTCTACAGGACCCATGCTGCCAAGGATGGGAATTCAGTACTTTCTGAAAATCAAGCCTATTCACTGTGCCTTTATTCGCGTACAAAAAGCTTACCTTTATGGGGTGCCTAATTCTTGTTTCTGGAAATTTTGACAAACGTAGCAGTTGGGCAGTGCAAAAGTTAATCTGCTGTCTGTGTCTACTCTATTACTTGCTCTAAAAATACTTAGTTTTCGGAAACACAGTGTTTGAGTTTCCTGGTTTGCACGTATGAATTTGCAGTTTGTTACTGCTTTAAGGCATGGGAGGGTGTGGTGCAGGTTTTCCTGTTTTATTTTGGTTTTAATTTGTTTTGTCCAGGTTAAAGTTTCTGGCAAGGCATGGTCGTAAAGTAATGTTCAAGTTTATTTTGTAGTTGTTTTAGTAGTGAGAAATACTTTGGAATAATTCTGTGTGTAATTAGTTTTGCATAAGTGTTTTCATGGCTTTTGTCCTCTTTCAAACTAACCTTAGCGGGGAAAAAAAAATAACAAATTTCTCCAGTTATGGCAACTTTAAATTAACCTAAAGTTGGTAGAGGAAATATATAAAGTGTTACAAAGCTGGAGAGGGCAGAGGCTGTACTGAACCAAGTGGAGACCTTTTACTCTGATGCAGTGTGATTTTATCCACAGAATAAAGAGCAATTTTTAAGTAAGAAAATGTATTACTTGTTAGTCTTCAATGGAGTAGGGTAAAACTCATTTTAAATAAACGAGTAGGTAAATCTGCTATATCATCAGCTATGGAAAAAGAACAGTAAGGCTTATTTCTATATTTTTCAATACTCTTTGCGTGCAGAGGAACGTGGACTTTGATTTTTGAAAGGAAGCTTGTTAAAAATGAAGTTTCTTCCCAGCATGAAAAGTTTTGGCAATTTGCTAAGAAAAGTATTTTCAAAGTCTTAAGTTTTTCTTTCAAAATTTTCTTTTGTTTCCACTTCAAAGGAAATCTGAGCACACAGAAAAATCCTGTATTTTCCCTGAGGGAATAGCACTTTTGTAGTTCATAAAATTCTCACTTTCACGCTATACATCATTGACCTTGAAAAGACAGAATCTGAACTGGAGCCCCATACCAATGCCATCCAAGTGACAGAGCTGGTGAATTCCAGAGAGAGGAGGAAACCCATTAAGTTGGCTTGCATGAAAGGAAACCAGCAGCTAACAAAGTGGTTTGTGTTTAATATAAATAAATAAAAGCAACGAGGAGTCTTCGAAAAGCAGTCATGAGATGGGCAAACAAAGCAGGCCTGTTTGTCTGAAGGCTCCTGCTGAGTGCTGGGGTGAGCAGGAACCAGGCAGCTACAGTTCCAGGTCCTGTGGCCGATGCAGATCGTGCTGAAGTCTTTGGGATGCTTTTCATTTGCCCAATTGAAATTCATTGTGGGGCTGTAGTTCGTGACCAGCCAGTAGGTTTGAAATGTGCTCTCTGGCAAGCTGAGTGCCACTACCAGGTATGCTTACAGCAGCATAAATGCATTGTAGTATTTTGCATTTGTACCCAGAATGGTCATGAACTACCTCACTGCTGCAAGACTCGGTACAAAGAATGACTTCTGCAGAAAACCTCAGGGTCGTTAGTTGGCTGGAGTGGAGTACTTCCAGCTGACAGTGTAACCTGTGTTGTATGGCTCTATCTGGTACTGCAGTGAAGACTCTGCATTTAGTTCTGTATTTTAGCAGACTCAGTCGGAAGATAAATGATGTTACTTGTATAACACCACTGAGGATTTTGCTTTATAGGAAAAATTTTATTTCTGTTCTGTGAACCCCGATTATTGGTATAATTCTTGTCCAGGACTGATCTGGAGGTGCAGCTTCACAGCTCCTATGACCAAGAATTGTTCTTTCCTAGAATTTCTCTGCTTTTAAGTTGGGAGTGGCTGGCATGAAATTCATGGCTGCAGCACATGTATGCACTGGCCAACATTAGCTTTTTAGGTGAACTTTGAACAGTTTGAATGGTTTGGAGCACTTTGAAATAACTCTGAGCTGTGCTGGAGGGGTCCAGCCAAGAGCTCACCCTGCCTTCTGGGGGGTGAGGGGGAAGGGCAGCAAAGTGCTCTTTGCCTAGCTGTGTCCAGGGAGCAAACTTCTGGTGTGCTGCCAACAGAAAAACGAAGATGGCTGTTTCAAAGTGAAGGTCAGATGTGATAGCTACAGCTGAAGAGTTTTACCTAAAAAGCTGCCTCGTCTGACTACGAGCAGTTAAAGTAATCACATTAGAGCCCTTTTTAAGCTGTACCAGGGTCATGCAAATCATTTGCTAAGGAATAGTCTCTTCAAAGCAGAAGCCCTGGAGAAACTGAAGTCCTTGGTGATCTCAGACCTATTTCTCTGTGCTTAAAGAGCACCTGGCAAATCCTGCTGCCTCTCAGCCTCCTAAAGCAGTCTCTGGAAACTCCTGGAATTTTTGTTTGTCTTTATTATGTGCTTTTAATACTGCCTTGATTTGCAAATGAATACTTGTCCTCTTAATTTTCTGTCTCTCACCATAGAGAAAAATGTTTTGCGTGGGGGGTTGTAATTTGTATATCCATTCAGATCATCCAGACATGTAAAGGAATAAAGTGAAAGTGACAGCATCCCATATACTAGAGCTCTAGTGAGAGTGTAATGCATTTATTTTGATGTGCCTTTGTACTGCAAGCATGCATTGTGTTGCCTCCTCTTCTTTGGTGAAGAATTATATAAAATATTGGCTGCCTTTGTTTCTAGTGATGTTCATAATTATGGCAGCAGCTATCCCTGTATTTCGTTACAGGTAGAAGATCTGTCAGATGAAGTTTTTTCCTTACGTCATACAAAATATGAAAAAAGAGAGAGAGCAAGGTGGTCACTGTGGGAGCAGAGCCGCTGGCCCAAAAGGAATAGCAGGCAGGTGTATTGACTTTGATAAGAGCATTCCTATTGAACCACTGGTGTCGGCTGTTGGTGCAGCAGTTTCAGAAATGCTGTCACAGGGAACTTTTAAAATGAGGGCACTCCTCGTTAATTAACTTGTCAGGGACAGTACTGGGTGTGTTTGGTTTTGTGGCTGGAAAGGGAAGGCCGTGCAGTTCTGAAGCATGCATACTTACAGAAATTTAAGCATGTTAGTGACCTGCTATCAGTGAATAAAAATCCTACTCCCATACTGAACACAGCTCTGGTGGTTTGTGGCACTCCCAGTTATGACTTTAGCCACTGAGCGTAACATGAGCCCTTCTTCACTCACTTGACTTAGATGAAAGTCCACTGCATTCACAGACATGTTACTGAAGGGTCCTGGGCTGTGCCAGGGACCTTATGCTTAGAAAAGTCATTGTGTGAGAAAGTTTAATTATCACAGGCTTGCTGTCTGGTGCAAAGCTCATCAGCTTTAATTATAACCCCTAAAAATCTTGCAAAAAGTAGTGCATATAAGAACAAACATCATAAAGCTGTAACTGCAGTTTGGCTCTGGGAAAATTATTCCTATAAATCACTTTCAGAATTTGCCAGGACAAAAAGCATCATATAAATGCTGAGATTACTTTTTCTGCTGTTTATCATATCCTTGTGTCTACTCTTGGCTGCAAGTGAACGATGACCCTATGAATATATATGCAAGGATAGTTTTTATAATGCAGGATAAATTCAGAGATAAACCATAGTAAGGAATTCTATTTTAAGCTATTTTGAACATAAAAAAGCTTCAGAAAGTGTACTGAAAAATACAAGTTCTATATGTACCCTGAATTTTGAAACTCTGTGAACTCCATGGTGAAATCTTAGTGCTATTTGAATTCAGAAGTAAAACTGCCCATTGACATGAGCAAGGTCAGACTTCCACCTGGCATTTAAGATGCATGCCATTATTTTATATCTAGTTCAAATTGGCATTAAAGTCGAGGTCAAAATTTTTAATTTTACTAAATTATTTTGACTGCTTTGGAGCTAAGTCCAGAGTAGAGGTGGGAAGGGGGAGCTCAAGGACCTGCTGTTTCTTCTCGAGTTGCATTGGCACAGTCTGCTGACAGTGCAGTTCGGACTCCACAGGCTCCTGCAAATTATGCCATCTTCCCCCAAGTGGGAACAGCCCCAGCTTACTGACTTCTGTCCAAAATTACCGTTCTGGTGAGCATGCGGAGCAAGGCGCAGGATTGGGACCAGCCATTTTGCTGCCAGAGTGTGCCTATTCTAGCCCTGGTTTATCCAGTTGGCTTCTCCACATAGCACTCTTTGCTTTTGGCTTGTGACAGTGAGGTTGTCAAGAACCACGTGTGTTTTCATCTGCTCTTTGATTTAAATAAGTAGAATGCAGGTAGCATGTATGGAGAAACTGAACGCTTTGAAAAGAAGATCTGAACTGTTTCTGGTGATGTGAAATGGCAGGGGTTAGCTCTTAAGACTCGTCTCTTATCCTGCACTAGATCTTACAGCAAAAATGCTGACGGACGACACAGCCAAGATTTGGTGCAGAAAGCAGGGATTGCACAACTCTGCAGAGAGAGCCAGGAAGCGAAGGTGGGTGCTGCCAGTAGCTTCCGGGTCTGGTCAGGTCTCCAGTGACCACTATCTCTAACCTGAAACAAAGAACCTGAACATATTCTCCCATCTCATGGATTAGAACCTCAGGCTGTCGCCTCAGTTTATGTAGACTGAGAGTAGCACTCCTGTTTGGAACTAGATTGCTCTGCTTTATGAATTAAGCCCAAGATTTGTCAACAGGTAAAAGTTTCATTGCGCAGCACACACGGCACGTGTTTTAGAGCAAAGTATGGCAGGCCTGGGTTCTGGGATGATGGATCTTTTCTCAGGGATGTTGGCCAAGGTTCCAGATGGGGCTGACTGTTATGATGTCAGGTATCCTGATGGTCTGGCACCCTGGAAAAGAGCTTCCCCCTTCCTGTACTGTGCCTGTTCAGTTGTAGCTCTGTTACTAGTTCAAAATTGTAAGAAGCCAGCTTATATTGACAGCTGGTGCCTAGCAGCGTCATATTCTTTATCTGAAGAGCCCTGCAAACATTGTAAAGAAAGACTCATTTGTTACTTGATAGCAGATCATTCTGCACATAGCTAATCAGTTCAGAATCAACTGAAATCCCTTTCTCCCCTCTTCTCTTTTTTTCACCCTCACTCCTACCCTTCTGATTCCTTTCAGTCTGGGCTGTGGGAACTTCGAGTTTTTCCACTAAAAGATGAAGAGGTAGAAGCTTTACTGTGCCAAGATCAAATAATGAATCAGACTGAAATGTCAAGTGCAGCTTTTCCCAGCGACTCTCTCTGTACTTCGTGCACACCCATTGGTTTGCCAGACAATGGCCATCCACCAAGAAAACAATCTACCGAAGAGTCAGAAGACTGTGAAAATATTTGCCTGGGAATGAACAATACAAGAAAACAAAGGTGACAGGGAATAATGTGGTTCATTAAGAAAGCCAATTAAGGTGGAGAAAAGTGTAAGGTAAAATCTCTCTTGTTCACACAGCGTACGACAGCACAATTCAAAACCTGTATGTTAGCTGCATATAATATATTTTCTTTCTTGCTTTGTAACAGGCAGGATAAATCCCAAAGACAACACTTTCTTCTTCCTGAACCCCAAGAGAAAGTAATTATTTCAAGCTGGAAGTCTAATATTCCCAGTGTCAGGAGTGGGCGCACATAAATTGCTGGCACCATTCACTTTCTGTTGTCATATTGCCACATTTGTTAATAATCATCATTTTCTGTTTTGTTTGTTTTTGAATGCATTTCTGGTTCTAGTGGAGTCTGGTGCAGCAGAATATGCTGTCTACCTTAACCAACGCCTTCAACTGAACACAGAAAAACTACTTGAAAAAATAGTGGGGAGAAGCGATAGCCTCAGATTATTTTTCTGTGTGGCATGACCATGGGGCAAAAATCTGCCTCTCTAAATGCATGTCTGTAACCCATATGTGTCAGATAAGGGTAGCTGAGAACGAGGAGTTTCAAACCAGGCGTTCTGGAAGCCTAGCATCTAGCTTAAAATCAGTAGCGCCAGGGCATGTTTCACATAGATGTCCTCAAGCAATAAGATAGAAATAGACCACTGCATTTCAATAGTCAGTATACCTGCCACTTGGAAAGTAGCGTTTCTGCTTCAGTTGCGTGGGTATAGAGAAACGGAAGGAAAGAGGAGTCAAGTCAAATCAGTGCTGCAGCTCTTTGGAGATTGTGTTTTGGGTCATCTTACTTCCTTAGTTCTTCAGTAGCTAATGAGGCTCATAATATTATGCTTTAATATGTTAAAGTCTTGTTCAAATTCCTGTACAGTGCCTTGTGAGAGTCTCATAAGTTTGCCAACATTTGGTGACTAGCTGAAAAGATGATTGATATCTAGAAGGCAAATAAAGAAAAAAGCCCCAAAGTTTTCCATTGTGATTCCAGATAGATTTTTAATTTCCCAACGAGTTCGCGGTGAGGAAACAAAAGCAAGTTGTTTAAACTTGCATCTAACTAGTATAGTTTGGAACATATCTGCAATCCCAGGAGGTATTAAAAAAGATAAAACAGTGAATGTAGGTATCATCAATCAACAGGAATTTTTTCTGTGTAGGACAGTTGAAGGCAATTTTATAGGAGTCTCTGGTTTTGTGCAAAATTTTCTTCCACATGTAGTATCTGGAATGGCACTGTACAGATGACCCAGTTTTAGTGACTTTTTGTTTGGTTGTTTTTTTTTGTCAGAATGACAGGAATTATACACTGGGCATCTGAAAACAGTAAAGTTTCAACACTACAACCTATTGCTACATTGTAGTTTATTGCACATCCTGATTATTTTTTTAAACACTTTTTTTAACACTGGTTTGTCTTAAACTTGAATCTTGGCTCAATGTCTGATACAATAATCTTTGATGCAAGGTTTGTTTTTTAATTAAAAGCTATTTCTATATATGTTGTATATAGTCTGAATTTGATGGCCTTTTAGAAGTGAAGAAATGGTAGTAATGCTTTCTGTTGGCACAGAGACCTGCCTGGCCCAAGAACGGCTTTGCAAACACACTGAGGTGGCAGTGGCACTAAGCTTTGCTGTGGTACTGAAGCTGCACCGGTGCTGTGAGGCTGAGGTCCCCTGGTGTCTGAATACAGAGGGAGATTGTTCCAGCCCTCTTGTCCTGCATGTGCATCTGCTGCCGGGAAAGGTTTCTGAAAGTTACATGTCTCAAATGCTTTGCAGGTCTTTTCCATACCTGTATCCATTCATTGAAACGCCTGATCCAACCAGCTCTCACCCAGCTTTGCTGTAAGGTCAGGGCTTCCTGCTCTGTCTGATCCCTGGGCAGCAGGAGGAGCTTATGCAGTTTAAGAGATGGTACAGAACCAAGTAAACCAGCTGGCTAGCCACCTGGTCAGGAAATGGAAACACAGTGCAGCATTTTACAGGAAGGAGCAAGAGGAGAGTGTTTTTCTCGACTGGGGGCGGGGGGGGGGGAAGGGTGTTAAAATGAGGCCAAAAAGGAGCTGGATTAACAAGTTTGGTCAGCCCAGCAGACTGTGAAGCTGTTCCTGCACTGCTATTCAGTTCTCAGTTGTGGTGTCCTGTTGAAGCATTGTGTTGCTTTTGGGTCAGTCTCCAGTGTGCTGGCCCACAGCAGCTGCTTGTTACCTTGCCAGCTGCAGGGGCTGCACAAACTGGTCATTGATATGAGCAAGGGTAAGCATGCTTTCTTTGTCCCTTCTTCAGATGTTCTTGTCAGCCATTGTGGGAACCAGCTAGCGCCTCACAAGGCAGCTGTCAAAAGGCCAGCCAAAGAAAGGCCGCGTAGCCAGGAGACTGGAAAAAAACAAGATCCCTGTAGAAACTATAAAAAATGTCTGTTTGGTCATAACCTTGCCCCACCACCATCAGAAGTCTTTTCTCCACATCTGCCCCTCAGCTGGGTAGACCTGTGCCAGCAAACTGCAGCTGCCTTGACACAGAGCCACCTGAGCAATTACACAGCCAAACTGTGCCCAAGTATTACTTCCTCCCCAGAGGGCTGCTCCACAAGTGGTGGTGGTGCGCAGGCTTCTGCCATCAGGTGACGGGCCTGTGCAAGTGTGGCAGGCACAGGCCAGGGAGGAGGGGTGACCAAGAACAGGCTCCATTGGCTTTTCCCACGTCACCTGCCTACCTCCAGCAGCCTTTCATCTGGCAGGTGCAGATGGGGAACGCTGTGTGCACATAGTGAGCGAGACGCTTTTCGGGAACCTCCAGGCTGCTCCTCACCCACAGCACCTCTCATCATTTGCCACCTTCTTGCAGCAGACCAGGCACTGTGGATGTATATACTGTAGTCATCAGCCTGGACAGTAGCTGAACTGATCCTGGTGATCACTGAAGCTGCCGGTGAATGGGTCCCTGAAACAGGGCGTAAAGAGGAAGTCAGGTTGCCAAGTGTAAAGGGTGTTGTCATGACTCTGCAGACCTGAATGGGACTGACATCGCGCACCTGGCAACCTGCATGAGCGATTGTCAGCAATTGTACATGCTCCCGAGACAGATACACACAGACTCCGCTCAAGAGCTGTGGAAGTTTTGTACAAAGCTGGCCAGAACAGCCGCAGGTCACAGCAAAGCATTTATCCTAACTGGTGCAATGTGACACTTTTTCCTAATGATGAACTGTGCTGTCAGTAAAAATGCTGCAAGAGGGCGAAGCACAGAAGTACAACTGAGCAGTATCCTTTCTGGATCTACTCTGTGCGTCTTTGCTCCAGGCAGGCGCCCAATTTTTCAGTAGCCTCGTTCCACTACTGGGACAAGGTTAGAAAACTGGCTTAATTGAACTTGGTCACAGGACCATTCCCATCCTTTCATCTTCTTTCCCTGTGCTGTATGCAGCTGGAATTGGCACTAGTACTCTCATTTACTGCCTGCAAGCCCTTGTCCCTGCAGAGCTGGACTCCCACCTCTGGACAGTTCAGGTTTTGCATGAATGTTGGGGTTGTGAGGGAGCTGCTGGTGGTGGGAGTGGGCTGAGAGCTCAGAGACAGCCTCATGCCTGAAGCCATAAACTGTGTGAGAAACCCAGTGCTTATTTTTCTTTCCTTTTCAAAGTTTTAAACAACGGGAAAGGGGAAAACAAAAACACCCTGTTTGTCTTTGGGCTGTTAAGCTATGAAAACAGCTGTCAGCACTGCTCCTCATGTTTTGTGGCTGAAGGTATGAAATGTGAAATACCAACTTTTAAACATAATGCAGCAAGGCCCCCCCCATACACCAAACTGGGGTGTTGCAGCTTTGCAAAGAACGCATTTCCCTTGCACTTTGTTTACGATTTTCAATTGAGACATTTTTAAGGTCACTTACATTCTGCTCCCTGCTGCTGTAAGGGTTTAAATGCTTCATCCTTGCATCCAGGACCTTAACAGAATGCAAGTACAAGTACCAACTTCTAAGCCCTATTAAAGTTACACTCTGTGTGTGTATGTCTACTGCAGGTGTTTTTTTGTTGTCTTGCTCAGGGATGTGCGCTGTACCACCCTGTGGAGCACATGTCCAAGCCCAGCCTTACTCGGCTATATCGGTTTCTTTTATCCTGTTTTCCAGTGCAGGCAGAGCCTTTGCTCTGTCACATCAACCTGGACCACTCTAAATCATGTTACTTAATATAATTATTACCAGACTGTGCACTACCTTGTTGCTGAAACTTTGCTTTATCAATGTATTGCAACATCTAACAGTCCTGGGGTTTATTTGGCCCCATGGATACCATGCAAGCAGCTCTGGGTTTTCACATCAGTGTTCAGTTCAAGTCCTGCAGCTGTGGTGCTTCTGCTGTGGGGTTACGTTATCAAGTACAGGAGGGCAGGCCTAAATAAAGTCTAACAGATTACTTTGGTTAACGTGTAGAGGCAAGAACCTGGAACGGTCTTAAGCATTAAAAGAACAAGTATCATTACTGTTACTTCCATAAACGCTCTGTTGTCACTAATAGATTTAACCTTAGATGTGTAAAAAGCTGCTGCAGTAGTAGCCAGATGCATAAAGCCACCTGGGTGGGATTTAGATGGAAAGAATCAACTGAGTAATTTTACTGTGCGTGCAGTTTCTTTCTCCCACAATATTCCTAACCTGAGAGTCAATGGACTTGCAAACTACCAGATTTAAAATGATGACAAAGTGACTACAACCTATTAAAGAAACCATACTGTATGGTTCCACGCTCAGAACAAAGCACAGTACTGTCAATTAACTAGCATGACTTTGGGACATCTGTGTTCTCCCTGCAAATTAACTGGAAAAAAAAAAGCAGAAATAGTTTGATTAGTTTCAGCCCAGCTTAAGGTCAACTGCAGGAGGCAAGGATACTACAGCTGTTGTGCTACTGCATTCAACAGCATGAGAAGCCACACTTCCACATCCTAAACTAACATTTTCATAGCCACTTTGTGGCTGCTTGGCCTGCATTTTAGATACGAGAGCCATGACTGTTTCTCTATGCACACTATGTTACAGTCTACACAGGTTCTTTCCAGAAGTACGAATAAGCTGCTTTGACACATCTAACAGCCATTTGGACTATTCCTTTTCCCGGCCAAGCTTTCTTTTGGCAAACCTCTTCTGAAAGATGTTTTCAGTGCAGTAGGTCCAGATGACTCCATTTGTCTTTTGCTAGTTCTCAGATGGGGTTGCAAGTGGAAACAGGAAGCAAAGGCATTTGTTCACCTAAACCACAGTTAACCACACAGGAAAAACTAGTCGTTGCCATTTCAGACACTTGGCTATAGACCGTTTGAACTAGCCCTAGCTCCTCCTCCTTAACAACAGCAGCAACACACACTGTACCACAGCCGTCTCCTCCCATGGCCACTAAGCAGAGGCCATGCTGTGGACACCTCGCAGGTCCTGGGCTGAGAAGAAGGGCGGGGGTGCATCAGCCCTACCACTGCCCTAGCATTTCGTAGGGGACGCATGCCCAGCTTTGCTGCAAGGACAACTGATTAGACTTTGGCCTCGTGGAAATCGACTAGCCACGGCTGTTGAGCCTTCCAGCTGGTTCCCCTGGGGCACCAGCCTGTTTGCAACCCTCCTGTAATTACAACTTAAAGGGAAAAATACCATGCAGAACACCATGAAGTATTAAAGGAGTTGGCAATACTAATTAGTGCCAAGGGTGGTAGGTCTATCTAAAACAACCTGCTCAGATCCTCCTCTGGTGGGCTGTAACACTCACCTTTCACATGTGCAGGCAGGCCAGGCTGTGAAGTCAGCTCAGGCAAATGGAAGGTATGAGAACAATTTGGCTTTGCAGCCGAGAGGAGCTTTAAGCCGTTTTACAGAGCCATCTCCATACAGTGCATTTCAACCTACATACGCTGAAATCGCTTCAGGAGGTAACGTTCCTATATGTCACCATCTTAATCATTTGCTCAGGCATATGCACAAATGAAGGAGGCTGTGGGTCAAGGTAAAGTTTCTTAACTATCTGTAGGGTTTTAAAGTGACATTCTTCCATGGAATCCTGTCACTTCCAGGAATTTCAGACACAGCTGTCTTAACTGGCTATCTGAAAGGTAAATGAGAGGGTATGTCCCAATTTGTGACCCAGGTAAAGATGTTGCACTGACTTGTTTAATGCCTAACTTATGTAGGTCAAGTACTTCTATGCAGTAAAAGCAAAACATAGAAACATTTCTGGCATCTATGGGATTCTTTAGCTCTGTTAAAACTGCTTTTTTCCCCAACTTACTCCCAAAAGCACTCATTTTTGACACTCGGCTTAAAGGAAACTTACCACACCAAGGGAGGGGTGTTTAATGCAAATATTAGAGAAGTTTTGTAGGAATGCACTGATCAAAAGAAAAAATACAGACAGCAGAAGGCAGTTTGATTAGAGTCTTCCACAAGAAAGGTTGCTTGTGGTGATTCTACACTCTTCTAGCAAGCAAATCACTGACTGAAGTTTAGTTCAATCCAGTCAGCATTACAGGCCGTGCCATAAAATGAGCCTCCACAGAATCACAACAGGTTCAAATCATTGTATTTCCAACCCTGAAAGACAGCCAGTGTTCTTCACTGCTGCTTGCTTCATTGCAGCGAAGGAATGATTCCTCTGTTCAGCAGCAACAAGTTTCCATAATTAACGTTCATCCAGCCCTTCCTTACGCACAAGAATCATGGGTTCTCCTGCACGCATAGAGCCTTCTTGAACACTGCTCAGGTAGGTCTCACCGATCCAGACAGCGCTTTTGAGCTGCTTCTGAACACACATTCCTTAGAAGATTGATCACTGATCTTGGATCTGCGCTTTTCATAATAGCACTGCCAGATACAATCATATTTGCACCTGCCTGAAAGACATTAAACACCCACTCAATAACACAGAACAGCTCCGCTTCTTAAAGCTCTTTCCTGCTGTAAAACACATAAGGAGGTAGTGAATTCTAGGCTGGTGGGCAAACAAGCGCAATCTGTGGGACACAGCATAACACAGCTCTAACTACAACCACACAGCAAGTTCAGAAAAGTCAGCTCTTCCCCAAGTATGTAATTTCTTCATCGTTGCTCCTATTTACCCAAACATACAAGAAACAAAAAACTTCTCGAGCTTAGGGCAGGCTTCAGTAGCCGCTATCAAAAGAGGCACAAGAGCAGACCTCAAGTAGATTTCGGTAAGTGTTGCTTTACTGTTCCCTCTGAAAACTAACAGACAAAACACAATTCCCCCTAAGCTTTATTTGCCAAGAGGCCATTAAGTCTCTCAGCACAGTGACCGAGAATGCTGCTCTGCTTCAGCCTCTTACCTCTGCACACTTATGGATGGTGTCAGGCCCAACTCCGCCATCCACTTCAATATCCAACGAGGGAAACTGTGTCCTCAGCCACTGAACCTGAGACACAGTGTAAAAATGTTGGCACCGAGATCTGCACTCAGCTGCTACAGTTACTTACAGTTTCTTACACACCCAGACAAGGTTTACTCACTACACCACCACACTCCATGCTACTAACTACCTTTAAACTCAGTAAGTAAGGAAAAAGAAACTTAGTGTACCTTTGGCATCATGTCTTCCATAAATTTCTGCCCTCCAAATCCGGGTTCTACCGTCATCACCAAAGCCATGTCTATCTGATTGGCCCAAGGTGCCAAGTGCTCAACTGTAGTGCCAGGCTTGATCGCCAAGCCAACCTGCAGAAGAGGCAAGACAAATCCAAGTGCACCTTAGGATGACACAAACATGGTGAGATCGGCTTGAGCTGGATACAAACTCCTAGGAAAACAATTACGTGTCTGTGTAAGTGCAGTAAGAACAGGCTGCTTTAAATAACGATTCCCTATTTTTTAAAACTCAAATTGAAGACTGACTTTGTGCACAAAGAGCTTTAGGGCTGCGTGTGCCCATCTCTGACTACCTGAAACTGCGGCGATGGGTTTTCATTGCCAGAAACACAGGGGCCCGTTCAGCGTGCCACTCCGCGCCCAGGCTCCCCTCACCTTCATCCCGTTCTCCCGAATGTCTTTTATCAAGGCCCCTGGGTTGCTGGTCGCTTCCAGATGAAAGGTGTACTGATTGGCGCCAGCGACAGCCATTGGTTTCACCCACTGCTCC